GGGGCGTGGCTTTAGCGACAGCCTGGGGGCGGGATCTGCGGCGAGGTTAAGCCGAGAGATGGACAGGCCTTTGGCAGCGATTGGGTAGAAATGGGACCGATGAACGAGCATGTGGGCGTGGCCTCTTGACAGACAGCGCTGCTCTGCTTGTGGGCGGGTTTGGAGGCGGAGCTGAGGCAGAAGGACCTGCTAGGGGGAGGAGCTAGGGGCGTGGCCGTGTTGGATCCCAGCAGGGTCCAGCAGAGCTTGGTGCTCAAGGAGTCCAGGAACCTCCCTGGGCGGAGATTCAGGGTTGTGTGGACTGGACACTGTGGTCCGTGGCTGAACCAGAAGGTAGAAGGCAAGGAAAGCAGGTGTCAAGATCTGGTGTTTCGAGGCAGAGGCGGGGCTGACACCCACGCAACTTCTACCAGATAGGGTTTGCACCCAAGAAGGTGCAGCTTAGAGAAAGGGGTAGATGTCTGTGAGAAAGTGACGCCCGAGCCCAGGTTTCTTCCCACCTCATTTCATTTCTTCCTTAAAATTTTCCCTTCTAGAACGAGAAGGATGAAGAAATGAGCACAAAAGTGTACTTAGACCTGGTATGGAGACCCCGTGGGTTAGGGAAGGGCATCCCGCCACCTTTATATTATATCCACCTGGAATGCTCAGCCCAGTAAGATTTTTTTTTGCATAGTGACTTCATAAAACACATATATAATAACTGAAACCGAAGCTTATATAAACAATTCCTTCCTGGTTGTTTAAAACACAAGTTTGGTGTCACTAATTCAAATTCTCATCCTTTAAAGGGCCGTGAACTGCAGTTTTAAAACTACTGTAGTAGAGGATGGCTAATACAATCTCTTCAATTACTTTTTAATTTGTTTTATATGTATGGATGATTTGCTTGAATATCTGTCTGGGCACCACATGCATGTCTAGTGCCTGCAAAAGTCAGAAAAGAGCATCTGATCTCCCGGAACTGGAGTTACAGGTGGTTGTGATTTCCTTGTAGGTGCTGGGAATCAAACCTGGGTCCTCTGGAAGAGTAGCCAGTACCGTTACCACTGAGTCAACTCTCCAGGTCCCCCTTTGGTTTCAGAGACTGAAAACATAGAGTTCAGTGCAGGGGGAAGGAAACTAGTTGGTGTGAATCCAAGAGAATGAAGGCAGAGCCAGAACCCTTTCCCCTTGACCCACAGGCCAGGCCTGAGCCACTCCCCTTTGCACCCTTGTCCCGGGCACTCTCTCAGACACCCCAAATCTCTCCCTGGCCTCTAGCTTGAACAACCCTTTAGCTTCTGCTTCCCTAGGAGTGGACAGACTACAGGTTAAGCTGGGATCCTGCAGAACACGATGGCATCGATTCTCTCCGCATCACCGCTGAATCCATTTGGCTCCCAGACGTGGTGCTGCTGAACAAGTAGTCTTTCCAAAGGGGAGAAGAGGGAGGGGTGGGGGCCCGAGGGGGGTGAGGGAGGGTAATGTGTCATGGTGGGGGAGGCCTCAGAGGACAGATCCAGATCCCATATGAAGAGATCGCTTTCCTGCAGCAATGACGGAAATTTTGACGTTGCTCTGGACATTAATGCCGTGGTATCCTTCGAGGGCTCTGTGCGCTGGCAACCCCCTGGCCTGTATCGCAGCAGCTGCAGCATCCAGGTTTCCAGGCTTTGTCTGTTCTCAAGACTTCCTCACTCCCCAGCTACTCCCAATCCTGTGTCATAAGTCCTCCTGACCTTCACCTCTCTTTAGCCCTGACTGTCCATTGCCCTGCACACTTTCTTTGGTTTTAAGTCTTCCATGGAGATCCTCTGCCTTTTCCCTGATGACCTCTTCTCTTTTGTAACCTGCATCCAATGACCTCCCAAACTTCCCTAGTCCTTACTAGCCCTCTGGCATCTCCAGTGTCTTCCCCTTTCCATTCAGGTCACCTACTTCCCCTTTGACTGGCAGAATTGCACCATGGTGTTTAGTTCCTACAGCTATGACAGCTCTGAGGTCAGCCTGAAGACAGGCTTAAGTCCTGATGGGCAGGAGACACAGGAAATCTACATTCATGAAGGAACCTTCATTGGTGAGTAGGCGTGGTTCTCACATCCAAGGCTGGTAAACAGGCTCTGTTATCGATGCTCAGTGCAATCTGCTGGGGTCAGCAAGGTGGGGATGATTATCAGCATTGCAAATAGGGAAACTGAAGCCAAGTGCCTTTAATGCCAGCCAGCTTGAAAAGCTGAGGTAGGAGGATTGCTGCATATTCAAGGCCAGCCTAAATTATGTTCAGAGACTCTGATTGTTTGTCTTTCTTTTCCTTTTTTTTATTTGGGGGAGGGGGGTTTGCAACGGGGTTTCTCTATATAATAACCCTGGCCGTCCTGGAACTTGATCTGTAGACCAGGCTGGCCTCGAACTCACAGAGATCCACTGCCTCTGGCTCCTGAATGCTGGCTTTAAAGGTATGCACCACTACCACCTGGCTGAGATCCTGATTTTTCAAACAGACGAAAAGCACATACCACACACAGGGGAGATGAGATGACTCAGTTATAAAATCTCTTGCAGTGTAAACCTGACAACCTGGATTCGATCCCTGGAACCTACAGTGGAAGGAAAGAACTCCCAAAAGTTGTCCTCTGACCTTCGAATTCACATTGTGTCATGTACACACACACACACACACACACACACACACACACACACACACACAAATAATAATAATAATAATAATAAAATAATATTAAAAACAAACAGAAGCCGGGCGGTGGTGATGCATGCCTTTAATCCCAGCACTCTAGAGGCAGAGGCAGGCAGATCTCTGTGAGTTCCAGACCAGCCTGGTCTACAAGAGCTAGTTCCAGGACAGCCTCCAAAGCCACAGAGAAACTCTGCTTCGAACCACCCCCCCCCATAAAAAAAACAGAAAAACAAAACAAATATGGAAATTGAGACTTGTTTAAGTTTATTAGAGATGGGTTGCCTAGCAGTGTGCTATACTAGGCACTAACTAGGACAGCTACCACACCTACTTGTGTTTACCTCTTCTCCCTGCCCCCTCCAGAGAACAGCCAATGGGAGATTATCCACAAACCTTCTAGGTTAATCCAACGACCAGGGGATCCTAGAGGAGGGAAGGAAGGACTTCGTGAGGAAGTTACCTTCTATCTCATTATTCGACGGAAGCCTCTCTTCTACCTGGTCAATGTCATTGCACCATGCATCCTCATCACTCTCTTGGCCATCTTCGTCTTCTACCTCCCGCCAGATGCAGGTAAACAGAAAGAGGTTCCAGCTCTCTGTATCATTAGCCTAGCCTTTCCTTTCTCACCTTTAGTCCAGGTTAGTTTTTTGTTGTTACTGTTGTTTGTTTGTTTGTTTGTTTTTTATGTGTTCATGAAACTAGGTGGTGGTAGCATATGCCTTTCATCCCAGCATTTGGGAGGCAGAGGCAGGCAGATCTCTGTGAGTTTGAGGCCAGCCTGGTCTACAGAGGAAGTTTCAAGACAGCCAGGGCTACACAAAGAAACCCTGTCTCAATCCCCTCAAAAAAGGTGTGTGTTGTTGGTGTGGGGTGTGGGGGGGATGGGGGTTGTGAGGGGGTGGGGCTGGGTGTGTGTGGGTGTGGGTGTGTGCCCATGCACGTGCACTCATAAAAGCTCATGTAGGTCAGAAGTGTGGCATTGGATCCCTTGCAGGTGGAGTTCCAGGCATTTGTGAACCTCCTGAGGTGGGCCCTGGGATTTGAACTTCAGTCCTCTTGATAGAGCAGTGGCCTAGTTTGCTTTTTTGTAGCTGTGATAAAAATACTTAGCAAAACCAACTTATGGGAGGAGAGGGTTATAGTTCATCATTGAGATGAGCCAAGGCTGGAGCACAAGCTGGGAAATGAAGCACAACCCATGAAGGAACATTGCATATTGGCTTGCTTCCTCTGACCTAATCAGCGTCTTTCTTTTCTTTTCTGTTTTTTTTTTTGTTTTTTTTTTGTTTTTGTTTTTGTATTTGTTTTTTGAGATAGGGTTTCTCTATGTAGCTTTGTAGCCTGTCCTGGCACTCTCTCTGTAGATTGGGCTGGCCTCAAACTCATAGAAGATCTGCCTACCTCTGCCTCCTGAGTGCTGGGTGGGTACCAACACTGCCCAGCACTCAGCTACTTTCTTTATACAGTCCAGGACCACCTGCCCATAGTGGACTGGGCTCTCCTACATCAATTAGCAATCAAGAAAATGCTCCCAGACATGCCAACAGGCAATTCTTCAGCTTAAGTTCCATTTTCCCAGATGTGTTAAATTGGCAAACTGAAGCTAGTCTTGACAAGCAGTAACTGTTCTTAACCACTGAACAAACTCTCTAGTCTCCAGAATAGGTTTTCTTGACAATTCAAACCATCATGGGTTGCATATCAGCAATTCAAGGTCCCCCCCCCCCGTATAATTGAACCCAAATACAGGCCCTGCACCTGCTCTGCTGCTGGCTTCTCCTCACCCAGTAATGTTTTCATACTTCCCTTTAGAATCCTAACCTCCCATTCATGGAGTTCTGGCATGCATGACCACCCAAATTCCAGACTAAGCTAACTTTCCTTTTTCTGTTTCCCATTCCCAGCAAATTACCTTCCACCTCCCTTCAGACACCAACTGGTGCCTTCACTGGCTGTCTCCCTGAGAAATGACAGTTGACTTTTCTCTATAAGGAAGTACAATATAGTAAGATGGTAACCATGGTCAAATTCCATAATGACTATGTGTCTGAGTTTCCTGATCAGGAAATGGGACAGCCACTGTCCCTACTGCATAGAATTATTTTGAAGATTAACTGGGTTAATAAAACTATACCCAGTACCTAGCTGGGTCTATATGAGTTTTTTGTTTGATTGGGTTTTGTTTTCTACTTTTGAGCAGTTGATGTAAGGCAATACAACTGAATTACATGCATTAATTCTAATCTTTTCAATAACCTTTCAGTTAAGTGCCAAATTGTCATTCTCTTTTATAGAGAAGAGTAAAGAAGGCAGTTAATTCATTTGTCTGGCATCACATCCAGGTCAGTACCAGTCCTATTCAGAGACCTTGCCTCTAGCGTTTTCCTCCCTGCGCTTGGGAAACTGAGGCAGGAGAATTACCAAGAGTTTGAGGCCAATGAGTATGAGGTTACCTGGAGCTTCATAAGCAAGACCCTGTCTCAAAAAAAATCCCCCAAAAAGCAAATATGAAAACAAACAAAACCCTGTATTTTCCTCATCTCTGGCATCAAGTCCTCTATCCAGAAAGGGAGAGAGAGGCAGTCTGAGAACATACTTCTAGGCCCAGCATGATGGCTCTACAGACAAGATGCTTGCTACCAAGCTGGAGGGCTTGAGTCTGATATAGAACCCACAAATTGTTTTCTGACATCTCTATGGTAAGAACATGTATACACACACATACAAGCACTCATACACACACACAAACACACACACACAGTGTTAAAAAGAAAAATAACCTACTTACAAATACAATCAGTTTCTTCTAGAACAGGGCAATCTTGGAGCCTAATATTACAGTACCAAAATAGAGTGAACTGTATAGCTTATTTATTTCAATACCTTTCATGAAGTTTGTAAGGTCTCTGGTATGACACAAGAAGAATCAGCCACTTTTGCATACTGTTTTATTTTTAGATCCTTCATATTGCTATATTGTTCTTGGAATAGCTACAGAGATTGGTCTATTCATTCATGCAACTATATCTGTGGGATTTCTGTGATATGCTAGGCACTGCAGATGCATCAGGGAATAAAAATAATAAAATAGGATTGAGAATGTAGCTCTGTGGTAAAGTGTTAGAGCGGGTATAGGTAGAGCTAGTCTACCATACAGGAAGCCCTGGATTCCATCCCTAGCACTGGGGGGAGGGAGGTGTTGATAAAGGGATATAGTTTAGTTGATAAAGGGATATGTTTACCTTGTATCCATGCATGAAGGCCTGAGTTCAATCTCCAGAACCCATATATTTTATTTTATTTTGTTTTTTTGAGACAGGGTTTCTCTGTGGCTTTGGAGGCTGTCCTGGAACTAGTTCTTGTAGACCAGGCTGGTCTGGAAATCACAGAGATCCGCCTGCCTCTGCCTCCCGAGTGCTGGGGTTAAAGACGTGCGCCACCAAAACCTGGTCCAGAACCCATACATAAACAAACAAGTAAACAAAATCACTGATCTTTCCTGGTATACGTTCTAGTGAGGAATCAGTCCATACATTGATATCTACCATCATATACTAGAAAAGGACACATTTTTGTTGTTTGTTTCGTTCTTTCAAGACAGGATTTCTCTGTAGCCCTGGCAGTCCTAGAACTCATTTTGTAGACCATGCTGGCCCTGAACTCGAAGATCTGCCTGCCTCTGTCTCCTAAATGTTGGGGTTAAAGGCGTGTGCTACCACACCTGGCTTCTCGACAAGTTCTAAAAAGGAAAATAAATTAGGAAGATGTTTGGGAAGATTAAAGTGGGGGTGGACTCCTATATATAGTAGCACTCAGAGATGGGAAAATCAAGAGTTTGAGGATAGCCGGGGCTACAGAGAGAGTTGCAGGTCATTCTCAGCCACAGTGAGATCCTGTCTCAAAAAAGGGCTAGAAGCTAGGAGGGGGTGCACACACCTTTGATCCCAGCACTTGGGAGGCAGAGGCAGGCGGATCTCTGTGAGTTCGGGGCCAGCTTGTTCTACAAACCTACACAGAAAAACCCTGACTCGAAAAATTTTTTAAAATAATTTTTAAAAGGGTGATGGCCTAGAGATGTAGCTGACATGAAAAAGTGTTTAGCTATGACACAGGAAGCCTTTGACCCCTCTCACAGAATAAACTAGGCATAGTAGCAAAACCCTGTAATCCTAGCACTTGGGATGGGAGTGAAGGTAGGAGGATCAGAAGTTCAAGGTCACCCTCTGTGCATTGTGAGCTCACAGCAAGCCTAAGATATGTGACATCTGGTCTCAAAAATCAAACGGACCCAGAGAGATGGCCTAGCTGGTTAAAGTACTTGCTGCCTAGCCTGATAATCTGTGTTTGGTCCCTGGAACCTACATGATGGAAGGAGAGCATGAGCTCTTGCAAGTTGTGTTTGTCGTCGAATTTGTGCCCACACACACATGTACATGCTTACAAACACAACCCCCAAAATAAATTAAAATGTGATGAAACGAACACAAACTCCAGATGAAAAAACCACACCAGGGGCTGCATGGCTCTTTTGATACAGGGTCTGATGTATACCAGGGTGACCCCAAATCACTACATAGCTAAGATGACCTTTAACTTCTGGTCCTCCTGCCTCTATCTCAAGAGTGCTGGAATCACAGGCATGCATTGCCACACCAGTTTTTGGGGTGCTGGCTGGGGTTGATCCTAGTGCTTCCTGCATGCTAGGGTAGCACTCTGCCAACAGAAATTCATCCTCAGCCTCAGAGACCACAACTTTTTTTGTTTTGGTTTGGTTTTTGGTTTATTGAGACAGGGCTTCTCTGTGTAGCCTTGGCTGTCCTGGAACTCACTCTGTAGACCAAGATGGCCTGGAATTCACATAGGTCCCCCTGCCTGTGCTTCATGAGTGCAGGAATTAAACAGAGTGAGTTCCAGACAGCCGAGGCTACACACAGAAACTCTGGGGGGATGGGGGGAGAGGTAGAGGAGGGACAGGTGAAGCTGGGAATGGTGGTACACATCTTTAATCCCAGCACTCAAGAGGCAGAGAGAGGCAAATATTAGTGAGTTTGAAGATAGCCTGGGCTACAATAGTAAGTTCCTGGCCAGTCCAGCTACATGAGACCCTATCTTTAAAAAGAAAAGAAGTTTTCAAGCTAGCTCAGCTAGTAAAGGTGCTTGCTACTAAGCCTGATGACCTGAGTCTAATCCTCTTATGACAGAAGAAGAGAACCAGTTCTTTTTTTTTTTTCTTCCAAGACAGGGTTTCTCTTTGTAGCCCTGGCTATTCTTGAATTCACAGAGATCCACCTGCCTCTGCCCTCCTGAGTGCTGGCGTTAAAGGCGTGTGCCACTACTGCCTGGCTTGAGAACCTATTCTTGAAAGCTGTCCTCTGATAGCCACTCATGGACCATGGCTCTTGCTCTCCCATTTATGCTCATGTGTGTGTGCACACACACGTGTACACACGCATACGCACAAAATAAATAAAATATAGTAAAATTTTAAGAAATGGATAAAATGCGGTTAAGCAAAAGAGCCAATGAAAAGGGAGTGGTTGATTTTAAGGAGGCAGAGGATGGCCTTCATATTTCTGGTGGAAGAACATGCCGTAGGAGATAGTTCAAAGGCCATCCTTTGGAAGGGTGCCCACATTCACAAAATAGGAAGGCTAAACAAAAATAAAAGGTGGAGATGAATACAGTGTGAGGTCACATCTCAAAAGAAGAAAACAGTAAGTGTGGTAGTGCACATCTTTAATTCTAACACTAGAGCCCTGAGCTCAGGAGCAGCCTGAGCAACACAGCAAATAATAAATCTGAAAACAAACACAAAAGGTACTTTTTCAGATGAAATATCATTGCACCTTAAGATCCCACTCTGAAGTGAAGTGTGGTGGCACACGCCTTTAATTCCAGCTCCCCTCCCTTCCCCCACACCTCCTACCACCACCACTGCCAGACAGAGGCAGGGGGATCTCTGAGTTCGAGGCTAGTCTGGTTTATATAGTAAGCTCCAGCTTAGACAAGGACACCGTGCGAGCCCCTGTCTTCAAAACAAAAAAAAAAAAAATGGCGGGGTGGTGGTGGTGGACCCCTTTAGTCCCAGTACTCTGGAGGCAGAGGCAGGTGGATCTATGTGAGTTCCAGGCCAGTCTGGTCTACAGAGCAAGTTCTAGGACAGGCTCTAAACTTATAGAGAAACTTTGTCTTTAAAAACCATTAAAAAAGGAGGAGGGTGGGAGGAGAAATAACAGTAGGCGCCTCCTGTCTAAAACCCAGCATAGGGCAGGGATGGGGCTAAGTCTGGGGAGCCCTAGAACTCATTGCCTGCTTAGCCAGTTGTTGAGCTCCAGGTCCAATGAGAGACCCTGCCTCAAAAAATAAGGTAGGTGAGCACAGTAGATGACACCCAACAACAACTTCTGCCCCCCTCATGAAAGATTATATACAACACACACACATATTAATAAAAATAACACTTCTGAAGGTAAAAATGGAGAAAGCAAACATAATTTAATAGTAAAGGGGGAAAGGGTATCAAGTTAGGGAACTAGTAAGAAAAGTTATAGAAAATGGTTATAGTATTCTCTCTGTCTGTCTCTGTCTGTCTCTCTGTCTGTCTCTCTGTGTCTCTCTGTGTCTCTCTGTCTCTCTCTCTCTCTCTCTCTCCTCTCTCTCCCTCTCTCTCTCTCTGTGTGTGTGTGTGTGTGTGTGTGTCATTTTAAGGCAGAATTTTTTTGGGGGGAGTTTCAGGACAAGGTTTCTCTGTGGCTTTGGAGACTGTCCTGCAACTAGCTTTTGTAGAGCAGGCTGGTCTGGAACTCACAGAGATCTGCCTGCCTCTGACTCCCAAGTGCTGGGGTTAAAGGCGTGCGCCGCCACCACCACCCGGCTTAAGACAGAATTCTATGTAGATCAGGCTGGACTTGAACTCAATATGTAGTTGAAGCTAGCTGGCATTGAACTCCTGATCCTCCTGCCTCTACCACCAAAGTGCTAGGATTGCTGTAATACCATGCTAGGCCTAATTTGCTTTATACGTTAGGGAGATAATAATGTGGTAGCTATATCTAAGCCTTCTTTTAAAACGTGTGTGTGTGTGTGTGTGTGTGTGTGTGTGTGTGTGTGTGTGTGTGTGTGTTACTGAGAATTGAATCCAGGGCCTTAAGCATGCAAGCAGGGCAAGCACTCTACTAATTCATTTGGATCCCCAGCCCTGTACAGCCCTCCCTGTTTGCCTCACTAAGTAGGCAAGGTGGTCTTGAATTCATTCTGTATCCAGAAGCAGGCTTTGCACTTGCACTCCTCCTGCCTCAGCCTTGAGAGTAGTTGGGATACAAGACTGTGCCAAGCCCATCTAGAACAGCTTTGATAGTGAGGGAATTAGGATGCTGAGAGCTTAAGTTTGGGATGTCTGTTAGATATTCAACAGAAAAGTTGAGTAGGCATTTGGATGTAAACCTGAAGTACAGAGGAAGTTTAGGCTGGAGGAACAAACATCAGAGAGATTTGCATACAAATTACTTTCCCCTAAACCTGTCTTAGGTTGGAAACATGACCATTAATTATGCCTTAGAGTCTTACTTCTGGTATATAATAATCCTTTGGATAGTGTGTTGGCCCACGCCTTTAATCCCAGCACTTGCAAGACCGAGGCAAGAGGATCTATGTGAGTTTGAGGCCAGCCAGGGCTACACATTAAGTTCCAGGACAGCCAGGTCTACACAGCGAGTCCTTGTTGCAATAATAAGGGGGGTTGGAGAGATGGCTCAGTGGCTAAGAGCACTGACTGCTCTTCCAGAGGACCTCCGTTCAATTCTCAGCACCCACATGGCAGCTCACAACTGCTTGTAACTCCAGTTCCAGGGGATCTAACCCTCACACCAATGCACCTAAAGAGAATTTTGATAAATTATTTTTAAAAAATGACTAATCCTGCTTTCTCCTCTGCTTTCTAAGGAGAGAAGATGGGGCTCTCAATCTTCGCCCTTCTGACCCTGACTGTGTTTCTGCTGCTGCTGGCAGACAAAGTGCCGGAGACCTCCCTGGCAGTCCCCATCATTATCAAATATCTCATGTTCACCATGATCCTTGTCACTTTCTCAGTAATCCTTAGCGTTGTGGTCCTCAACTTGCACCATCGCTCACCCCACACCCACCAAATGCCCTTTTGGGTCCGCCAGGTAAGAGAGATCTTCTCCAACCTGTCTTACTTCCTGATTTTACAATCAACCAGGTGTGGGAACGATGAGGCTAGACTGGGCTACACAGTAAGACTCTGTCAGCAAATGACATAAATAAATAAATATAAATAAATAAATAGAATAAAAGGAAGGAAGAGCACCCTTGTGTTTGACTTTGTGTGCAAAAGCTGCTCCACCCACCAGACTGGACTTGACTTTGCAGATAGTTTCACTCTGTTGCCCTTCCCTCTTGCTTGCCTAGCCTTCTCTTTGCCAAGCGAAAAATGCCTTTAATCCTAGCACTCAGGAAGACAGAGGAGGATCTCTGTGAGTTCGCGTCCAGCCTGGTCTACAGAGTGAATGCCAGGATAGGCTCCAAAGCTATATAGAGAAACCCTGTCTCGAAAAACAAACAACAACAAAACAACAAACAACAAAAAGAAAAATTTTCAGGCTACCTCCCAGCCTGTTAAAGAGCTTTTTTGTTTCGTTTTCAAGACAGGGTTTCTCTGTATTCCCCTGGCTGTCCTGGAACTCAACTGTAGACCAGGCTGGCCTCAAATTCAGATATCCACCTGCCTCTGCCTCTCAAGTGCTGAGATTAAAAGTGTGAGCTACCACTCCCAGCCTAAAATAGCTCTTCTTTTAAAAAATGATAATGTTATGTGTATGAATGTTTAAATGTTTCCCCTGTGTGTATGAATATGCACTACTGTATGTGCCTGGTGCCTGAAGAGCATCAGATTCCCAGGACTGGACATGCATACAGATACTTATATGCCACCATGCAGTGCTGGAAAACAAACCAGGGTCCTCTGGAACAGCAGTCAGTGCTCTTAACCACTAAGTCATCTCTCCAACCCTCACTAAAAGTCTTTTAAGCAGCCGTGCCATGGTGGCACGTGCCTTTAATCTCACCCTTCAGGAGGGAGAGGCAGGCAGACCTCTGAGTTTGAGGCCAGCCTGGTTACAAGTCAGTTCCAGAACAGCCAGGGCTACACAGAGAAACCCTGTCTTTTGTAAACTGTGCAGTTGCGATTCTGTCTGTAGCTCAATGGGTTCATGAGTACACATGCACGAGAATGGACTCATGAACTAGTAATAGCTGCTTCCCTGGTGGTTTGCAAGCATTAAACCCTCTGCAATATGCTACTTCTACAGATCTTCATTCACAAGCTCCCTCCATACCTGGGTCTGAAAAGGCCCAAACCCGAGAGAGACCAACTGCCTGAACCACATCACTCTCTTTCTCCAAGAAGTGGCTGGGGCCGAGGAACCGATGAGTATTTCATCCGGAAGCCTCCAAGTGATTTTCTTTTCCCTAAACTTAACAGGTAAGACTTACACTCATCAGTCACTTGGGCAAGGGAGAACTACAGCTCCCAGAAGACTGTGGGAAAGTTCCAGCAGCTAGTGTGGTCTACTAGCATCATGGGAGTTGTAGTAGCCCTGCTGCTGCTTGCTTTTCGAGAAGATGGCATTTTAAAGCTTAATGAACCAGAAATTTGCAAAAGTCTGGAGAGGTCGGTCCTGGCGGGGAGATCAGGAAGGGCTTTCTCAGGTTTTGAGAACTACCAGGCTGTTGGAGGAGGCAGCTGAAGCAGGGTCTAGGCTACCGAAACTGCTTGTTCTCTTTGTACCCAGTGTGTGGCTAAACAGTCCCTTCTCTTACAGGTTTCAGCCTGAATTATCTGCCCCGGACCTGCGACGATTTATCGATGGCCCAACACGGACTGTGGGTCTGCCTCAGGAGCTCCGCGAGGTCATTTCTTCAATCAGTTACATGGCCCGACAGCTGCAGGAACAGGAGGACCACGACGCAGTGAGTCTAATGAGGTTGGAGCCCGCAGGCCCCACCTCAAGCTCCGCCCTCAGCAGTCGCTTCCATTTGTGATTGGAAATGTGCTTGGTTTTGTACCTCCTCCTGCTTTCCAACTGGCTCTTTACTTTCTTACCTGGTTCTTGGGCTAATTGCCTTTTTCTCTGATTCCAAATAGCTGCTATACCTTGGCAGGAATCCGTAAGAGGTGGGCTTTCCAGGATTTCGGCCCTGGAACTTTATTTATTTTTTTTCTGTCTTCCCTTAGCTGAAGGAGGACTGGCAGTTTGTGGCCATGGTTGTGGATCGTCTTTTCCTGTGGACATTCATCGTTTTCACGAGCGTCGGGACCCTGATCATTTTCTTAGATGCCACGTACCATTTGCCTCCTCCAGAACCTTTTCCTTGAAGACCGGAGGGCCATTTTTGTCAAGAGTTGCCGGTGCTCTCAAGCTGTAGCTACTTGCTTCTTAACCCCTGTAACGATCTAGTTTCTGGGAAGGCCCGGAAGTGGGACTTGGGCTGGGCAGGTGCCTTGAACCCACCTGAAATGTCCTCATTATTTAGGGTTTCATCCTTCTGGGTTTTTGTTTTGGTTGTTTTTGAGAGTCTCACTCTGTGGTCCAGGCTAGCTGGAACTATGTATCCCAGGCTGGCCTCAAACTCCCAGCAATGTTACTTCCTGAGCCAGCACACTTGGATTTGGATTCTTGAAGCTACACTGAATGTCACAGCTTGGCTCTCTAATGAAATAGAATTATAAGTAGTAGGTTGTAAACCCTTTGAGGATAGGAAATGTGTTGGTTACTGTAATGCCCCTAGCAATGTATACAGGACCTAGCCTATTTATTTAATGAAGAGAGGGAAATAAATTCTGGAAGGAAATTCTGCCTACAACTGAATGTTGTAATTAATCATTTTTGTCAATTTTTAACTTTCTATAATTTATTTTTTTGTTTAGACTAAAAAGGTATTTCTACAAGGTTTGCATTTGCAATGAGGAAACATTAAAAACAAAACAAAACAAAAAACTGTTCAAGATCCAGGAGTCTTAATCCCAGCATTTCGGAGGCAGAAGCAGGCAGATCTCTGTGAGTTAGAGGCCAGCCTGGTCTACAGAGCAAGTTCCAGGACAGCCAAAGCTACACAAAGAAACCTGTTTTGAAAAACAAAACAAAAAAAGATCCAAGAGTGGTGATGAATGACTGTAATCCCAGAATTTGAAAGATAGAGGCAAGGGGATTACTACAAATTCAAGGCCAAAATCTGCTATATATTGAATGCAAGACCAGTCTAGATTATGAGGGAGAGAGGGAGAGGGAGAGGGAGATGGGGGAGAGGGAGAGAGAGAGAGAGAGAGAGAGAGAGAGAGAGAGAGAGAGAGAATCTCATTCAAGCCAGGCATAGTGGCTCATACTTAGAATCCCAGCATCGGAAGGCTAAGGCAGGATTTCTGTGGGTTCAGTTAGGTTAGGCTATAGATGGAGACCCTGTCTCACACACACCTTATTCAAGTTCTACTTTTGACACACAAACCACTACTCAATCTGTTTCTGTATCTGTAAAATGAAGCAGTGGTATATGCCCATAGAGAATTCCTATATATCAGAACTTTAAAACTGGTGGGGTTTCCTTTTGGTTCTGGTTTTGGGGTTTGTTTTTTGTTTTTGTTTTTTGCCTGTGTTCCTGGGCTGTACACCATTTATTGGTTTGTTTTGGAGGAGTTGGAATTGAACCCAGGGCCTTTCAAATAGTAAGTGCTTTACCCTTGAACTACTTACCAACCCTTATTTTTTCTTTATTTTTGGTTTAATGGTTTTGTTATTGTTGTTTGAGACAACCTTGAACTCCTGATACTTCTGCCTCTTTCAAGTGGCACTGGAATTATGGGCATATGCCACCATGTCTGTTGTTTGTTTTGTTTTTGTTTTAGAAACAGGGTCTTAGTAGGTTGCACAATCTGGCTTTCAACTCACTATATAGCTTCAAACTTCCCATCTTCTTGCCTTTGGAGTAACTGGGCTATAGGTGCTCATTACCATGCCCTATTGCACATGTTTTGTTTTGTTTTGGTTATTTTTGAGACAGGAGCTTGATATGTAGCCCTGGCTAGACTGGAACTTGTTGTGTAGACCAGGTTGGCCTCAAAATCACAGAGAACCACTTGCTTCTGCTGCTTCCTGGGTGCTGGAATTAAAGTTGTGTAATTTTAAATTTGAATTAAGGGCTGGAGAGAGATGATTCTGAGGTTAAGAGAACTGGGGTTTGATTACCAGCACCCACTTATGTAACTCCAGTCTCAGGAGACCCAGCACCCTCCTTCTGGCCTCCTCTGGCACCGTACACACGTGGTACACCCACATGCAAACAAAATACACACATAAAATTAAAGGAAAGATATTTGAAGCTTGGTACCTTTAAAAATTTGTGTATTTCACAGACATTTGGATTTCAGGCTTCTCTTGAAAACACTTATAAAACTAAATGACACTAGGCCCACTACTGCTGTTGACAGCAACCCACTAGGGCTTCTCAGTGACTGCCCACTCGGGCCAGGGAACTCACACCAGAATTCCTCAAAGCTCCCATCTACCTGAACAGCCTTACTCGTGTTCCAACTACCCATGCATGACATGAGAGGATACACAGCAGGCAAGACGAAGCCAATGAGGACACAGGAGTGGCCATGACACAGCTGCTGCCCCACTGTACCTTCAAACTAGGAAGAGCTGGACCTGATTTAAGGCAAAGGTTATTCTGGGACACAGAAGTCTTGAACCTAGCACTCTACTCATTGAGGATGTTTCTAAAGAGGGGCATTGCATTTTTGAGAGAGGGCCCTTGTGAAGCACAGCCTGGCCTGGGACTCTCTGAGGATGACCCTGAATTTCTGGTCCTCTTGCCTCCATCTCCCAAGTGCTCATATTAGAGGTGTGTGCCACCATGTTGGACTGAGAAACAAACCCAGGGTTTCCAGCATGCTAAGCAAGCACTCAACTGAGCTACATCCCCAGCTCCTGAGTTAGTGTCCCTACCTGGAGATCAGGTCAAAGTGAGCTGGACTCTGATGGCTATACAATTATGGTAAAGCACCTGGAGGCAACAAGTCTCACACCAACTCAGTTGCTAGACATTGGTCCTGGGAGGGGAACTAGACTACAGGTCTCAGGATCCCTGTGGAGCAAGGAAACCAAATGCCTGCCCCCAGACCCAGCAGCCACACAAATAACCGCACCTGGCATCCCACCGTAAGCATAGTTCATTGTCTTGTCGGTTTATTGGCCTAGAGAATTGGAAACACACACAAATCTGGAGATAAATAATGGTCAGTTTCTCTAAATCTGGGTCCTCACTACGTATAGAGCTAGAGTCTAGAATTCTAAATCTTGCGTGCTGTGGCACAGAACCAGTGGCCTTCCCACTCTATGCTGTGGCTCAGAACCAGTGGCCTTCCCACTCTGTCACCCTTCTTCCCAGGGAATATGGAGAAAGAGGGCACGGACTGACAAGACTTGATCATCTTCAAGTGACAAAATTGCAAAATCCCAAATTTCCAATACCTGAAACTCACAATATTGAAACCTTCCAGCTCAAATACATATTTTTAAGTTTTTGCTTTGTCACAACTTTATTTGTTGCCAAATTCTGGAAGCTATTCTTCTTACCCATATTAAAAAAAATAAAATAAACACTTATAATCTCAATTCTTCCAAAAGGTCTGTGGTTTTAGAATTTTGATATATTCTGAAATTCAAATTCCACAGTCCATTTTCACCCCTTCTACTCTCCTGACTTCCTCAGAGGAGGGCCGGTGAAGGGCACAGAGGGACTGTGGTCATGTCTGCCCCCTGCATTCAGGCCTTCCTCAGTCTCTCTTGTGGTTCCGCTGTATATATAGATATATTTATATATATATATAATTTGTGTGTAGATATATATATGTATTCTTTATTATGTTTTTTTGCAGTTTTTTCTAAAGTGCCAGAAACAAGATTTATGGGAATTTTTAGTGATTTTTTTTTTCATTTTTCCCTGTTTGAAACTTTTCCCCCTTAAAAACTGGAACTTGGTACATTCAGTAGGAAATTCTTCACTCAGGCTGTGGTCAAGACCAAGAAAAGTGCAAAGAGACAGAGGAGGAATGGAGTGACCCTTCCCTCCGTGATTAACATTCAGGAAGCCTGTCAAAAACAACCTCCCCCTTCCTATGGACTGGGAGGTTAGGAGGGGGCAGGAAGATGCTCCTGGCCTTTCCAAACTCACCTCCCTCCAAAAGCCATGATCATACCCCCTCCACAGTAGGTCAGAGGGTAGCCATCTTGGCCTCAGAAAACAGTAGCTGAGAGAAAGGCTGTCATTTGGATTAAAACAGTCTTTCTCCTTTTTAAAGTCATACTCCTCTAATTCCCACATCAAAATTTGCTCCCCCAAACTGGCTCTCCCCTTGTGAGCTGGTTTGGGGGTAGGTAATATGGGAAATATCCATCTAATCACACATTAGGGAGGCCCCACTTTCAACAAGAAATAGGAACAAACAATCTAATCTTCCCCGCTGGAAGGAAACATAGGGACCCTGACCAGGGTTAACTAGTGCAAATTAGGGATTAGGGACCATTGAAAATCCCTGCACCCCATCCCTAGGCTGGGATCTTTGGGTGTGGGGAACTGAGTCAAAGATGGGGTATAAGGTGCTATTTTGGAGGCAAAGTTGGTGGGGATACCCCAAAGCCCACCAGAAGAGGAAGATGGTTCCCTGGAAACCATCTGGAGTGACTGGTGAGGACAGTGACACTGGAGGAGACAGGATAAAGCTAGGGTGGAAGGCAATGTACAAATCTTGGGCTAACCACACATCAAACCCCCAGCAATTTTCTGGCTATTTGGTCTAATCTAGAAGAAACCATAGTGAGGAATTGGCAGGGAGGAAATGGAATCTCTTCTCCATCCTGTATGGAGTGCTTCATACCTGGTGCTCAAATTTGGCTTAGCCCCAAAGAAGCCATCTATAAAGGCCAGAAGAGATAGGATCTATTCACCTCTTTGTCTTGGAAGAATCTGGAGTCACTGGATTGGGGGGTAAAGGTAGGGCCCAAGATTTCCCTGCCCTGTATTGAAAAAAGTGCTCAGCCATAGAACACCTCCCACCTCCTTTTGACTTGGATTGGGTTAGGCCATCTCCAAAGTCTAGGAGCACAGGAAGGAATATGGAAGATCCAAAGGCATGGAAGCCAAGGAAGCATGGCATCGTAATAGGAGACAAGGACAGAGAAACCCACCCTTGGGAAGAACGGAATCCAAAGCCATGCTTCCAGGCTGGTGGGTCAGATATCACAATGGTCTGGTCCAGGCCCTGGGCCATAAAGAATGGAATGTGCTAGGAAGCATCTGGGGCGGGGCTTAGAGGAAGCTTCAGAACAGCAGGCATCATTAGGTGAGAGAGATGGTTTCCCCCCCAGGTTTATAAATCAGGGGAGCAGGTTAGACATTCAGAGCTGGTGGGGCTGTAAGTAGAGATTCACTAAGTATATTGCTCAGTTGCCCCAAGGGCTGGAGAAGGGATGGGAGCTGGCTCTTCCCTTCACAGGGGCCATTCCCTGGAAAAGATTGAGAGGGGAACCACCAAAGACCCCTTCTCAGGGGGTGGGGAGACTACAATCACACAAAGCAGCCTGACTCCTGAGCTCCAGGGGCCCCCAATCCCTGCACTAGAGTGTGATGGGGCTCCCAAGGGGCAGGCAGGGAGGCCAGGGAGCTGATAGTGATGGGGGGCTCAGGAAGGGTGGCATCTGGTGAAAGGGGGATCTGGCTTTAGTGCTCACCCTACATCCCCCTTTTGGGTTCTCTCAACCCCTGCCTGTTCCCCTATTCCCTTAGGGGGGGGGGAGGGGGAGGGGGGGGGGGGGGGGGGGGGGGGGTGGGGGGAGTAGGGGGTGCTGCTTGAGGATTCACTGCGTAGCCAAAGACCCCGGGCAGGAAGGGGAGGGCCCCCCCACCCTTCTCATCAGGTAGGACCATGTTGAGAGCGACTGGGAGAGCAGCCAAGTTGCTGAAGTTGTAAGGGTAGGCAGCTAGGAGCTGGGGGCCAGACAGGAGTGGGTAGGGTTCAGGGTAGAAGGTGACTTTGGCAGTCCCCATCCCCTCCATCCGCTCTCCATCAGAGGCTCCCACTAGTCCCTCATTCCCAGCTTTTCCTCTGCCCCCACTGGGCTCCCGACTGCCTCCTATCAGGGCCAGGGGGAACTCCTGCACAGGTGGGTACACATAGCTGCCCCCACCTGCTCCTGGGGGCTCCTCACCCCCAGAGATGACCGGGTCCTGGAGCGAAGCAGTTTCGGGAGCTTCGGCAGCAGCACCGCCACCGCCGCCGCCTGCCTCCCCACTCGATGAGGACACCTGCATCTCTTGGGGGGCTTCCTCCTTGACATCACTAGGTCTGGGGCCAACGCTGCCTTTGGAGTAGGCGATGACAGGAGTGGGTGTGCCCCCAGGCCGCTCCACAGCATGCCTCTGCACATGTCGGCTCAGGGCAGCTGCCGCCTTGCACACCTTGGCACAGTGGGGGCAGGGGAATCGGGACGAAGACCTCTTCCCAGTCCTGGAGCTGTGGGAGCCCCCACTGTGGGCTTCCTGGTGCTTTCTCAGCTTCCTCAGGGTGGCAAAGGTCTGGGCACAGTCTCCACAACGGTGCCTACGCTCACCACGTCCTCGTCCTCCTGGGCCCTCCACTGATGGGGTCTCCTCCCAGGCCCTCCGTTCCAGCTTCTGTCTCCAGCGTGGTGGTCTTCGTCCTCGGGGCGGTCCACTGACCCCGCCGACCCCACCGGCAGTAGCTCCAGCCTTGCGCTTAGGCTTGTATGAATAGTAGGGCCTCCAGAGCTGATCTTCCCCTCCAGCCTTTGATTCCTCCTGGTCCTCCTCCTCCTCCTCCTCTTCCTCGCTCTCCTCTATTTCTTCTCCACTCAGCTCTCCAGGACGCAGGTCAGTTTCGGAGATGCGACGCTTGACAATGGCTTCCTCCCCAAAGTGCACAGTGATCTGACACAGTGGAGGTGGAGCCTGAAGCTGAGAGGAGCCTCGGCCTGTCCCTGTGGGAGAACCCCCACTCCCACTCACCCCACCCACGGGTTTGGCTGTGTAAGTCAGAGTTCTCCCAGCCCGCAGACTCCGGCTCTTGGCCTCCTCTGTGGCTGAGCCTGGCCCTGCAGCCGTGGCTGGACTGGTGGTGCTAGAGGCTGGGCTGGTGGGTGTTGCTGCAGGCTCAGGGGGAGGAGGTGGGTACTCTCGTTTCTTGGGGGGTCTTGGGGGAGTCGTATAAGTGATGACTGAGGCAGCTTGGGACCCTCCTGTGCTGGCTGGCCCACCCCCGGCTCCACCACTGCTACTGCTTCCATGGACAATGACAGAGGGAGCTGGATGAGCAAAGGTGATGACAGAGGGGGCGCTTGGCTGCCCGCATGGGGAGCAGGCGGTACAGCTTGAGGGTATTAAGCTTGGGCTTGTAGCCTCCATTGGGTGTCTTCTCACTGGCTAGGAGGCCGGGACTAATGCCATGGAAGACAAGCTGGTGGGTCTTCAGGTTATAATAGGTGACAAAGGTTTCCCAGCAGAAGATGCACTGGTACCTGGGCCAGGACAGCAGGGAATAGGGCAGGAACAGAGCCACTTGAGTTAGAGGCCCTGAAGGCAGGGCCTCATCTTGCCCTGTCATTTGCAGCCCTCAAGCTTCTAACTCCCCAGCACCTTGTTCATCTCTTTCCTGCTGCTTGCTCGAGCCTGCTAGCCTCTGGAGCAGAACCAGACCAAGCTCAGGACCCTGCTTCTGGCTAGCTTCAACTCTCAGCCTCAGCTGTTCTGTTGTGAAACGGGAACAGTCAGTCACACAGTTTAGCCCTCAAAATGCCTTCTGTGGTACAAAGGATAGAATGAAGATGCTAAGCGAGTATCAAGTGCTACTCTGTGTGCATTAAGTCCCAGGAGGCAGGCCTGTGTTCCCACAGGCCTCTCCTGTAAGGGCAAACTTCCCTCTCCATCCTAGCTTTTCCATAGCCTGGGTGGACAGGCAAGATGCTGGCATCAAGCAAAGGAACTGGGGCTGAAAGGAGGCAAGGGGAGGCAGTGACTGGGACCGGGACAAGAGCAGACCCCAGTGTGGATACATGGCTTTCTAGGCCCCGCACTCTGCCCTGTCCCTCCCTTGTCCACCTGAGGTCACTCACCTGCGCTCCCCAGTGTGCCACACCTCGTGCTTGGTGCGGTACTCAGCCAGGGCAAACACCTTCTCGCAGTAGCGGCAGGGGTACTTCCTCCGCCATGAGTGTACGTTGCTGTGCCTCTTCAGGCTGGACAGGGTCACGTAGGAACGCTCGCAGGCGGCACACACATAGAGCACATGGCCGCCCACCACCTTCACCACATGTTCAGGGCCGTCTCTGAAGCCCACTGGTTGTGGCAGGGCTGAGGCATCCACTCCTGCAGGACCCCCAGGACCAGAGCCCGCAGCTCCCAGGCCTGCAGACCCCCGAGTGTCGGACCCCCGTCGACACTGAACCTCATGTGTCTGCAGCCTCTTGGGATGGATGAAGCTTTTCCCACATCGAGGGCAGGGAAAGGGCCGCCGGGGTAAGGAGGGTTGTGAGTCAAGAGCCTGGGTTTCAGCTTTGTCACCCTCCCACTCGCCATCTGGTCTAGGCCCTGGCCCCAGACTGTCCTCTTCAGACTGTGAGGTGGCCAGGGGAGTTGGAGCAGGAGGTACCCAAGTATCACCTCCTTCCCCCAGGCCCTGGAGGCGGGAGATACCCAGCCGCCGCCCCAGAGCTCCAATCTCTGCCACAGCTGCCCCATCCCCTCCACCATCAGGGAGTGCAAGCCGGGCACTATAGATGAAGTTGAGGACATCGGAAAAGGCAGCTGCTGGGACCCCGGGCAGCTCTAGGACCCGTGGAGGGGATGAAGAGTGCGGAGGGACTGGAGGCGGGGAGGAGGAGGAGGAGGAGGAAGAGGAGGAGGAGGAGGAGGCAGCTGTGGTGGTTGCAGGGCTGGGAGCTGAGCCACCAGGAACCGGTGGGAGGGGCAGTGGAGCTGAAGCTAGCAGGGCTTCCCTGAAGAAGGGACTAGAGGCAGCCAGGACGCTGCGGTGAGCGGGGAACTTGGTGTCTCCAGCTATGAGGGTGACATCACAGAAGAGGCCGCGGAGCCGCTGCTCATTGAGCTGACGCAGGACAGCAGGGGCATGGGATGGGTCCGTCACCTCTGCGGGGGGTGGCATGGTCCCAGCCTAGACACGGGAAAAGAAGCCAGGGAGAGTCTCAGAGGCTGGGCAGAGGTCAGGAGCCTCTGAGACCAGGGAGATGAACGGAGGACAGTAGTTAGAGGTTCGTCAAAATCGGGGGTGGGGGGGTGCTGAATAACTCAGGTCACAGAACACTAAGCCACCCAGAATCAAACCAATGTCCAAGACCAGTATGTCTAACATCTGGGCCAGAGATACCTCAGGTCATAGTGAAGGTCAAGGGGTCATGACCTCCAGAATCACAGTAAACAGTAGAAGGGACACTTTGCACACCCAACAATTTTTCAGTACTGGACAAAATGGCTGCCTTTGCTGGCCTCCTGTCTTAGGTCTACCCTTTCCTAGCTGTGGTCCCCCCTGCACCCTCTCACCTGAGAACATAGCCAACATGGAGCAGAGTAGTGGGTCAGCAAGTTCCTTCAGCCTGGCCTTTTCTTTCTGCAGAGAAACAGAAATTGTGTCAGAAATCAAAAGGAGACAGGATAGGGTCCTCATGAGCAAAGGACGTGGTCATCGGTACATGAAAGCCGCAGACACATAGGCTGCTCTGAAAACCCTGATCCCTCCCAAGAACCTGTCAGGCTATTTGGCCAAATCCAATCAGACCAAGGAGGCCACATAGATTATCGCTGAGCCTTGCTCTGCTGGCCCTGAGAAAGATAGCAACAAGATAATTTGCATATCCCCAATTCACCTCCACATGACACAGCAACACAGCTCAATCCCACAGGTTCAGGACATCCTCACAGATCACTCTAATCCCTTTGGCCCAATCTTGAGACTCAAAGAAATCAAAGATTTGTATTTTTTTTATCTCAAGTGGGCTTATTTACATATCAAAATGGAGCTTTTTTTTTTTTTCTCCCATTGGACTAACCTGATTAGAGTTTTATATTATACACCACAGACCCTAAAACCTTAGTGGCGCCTTTCTAGCCCAGGTACCATGTGACCACTGACACACATATGTGCCTGCTTGCTCTAGTCTCTAGCAGACACCAGGAAGGTAACCAGACCAACAGTGAGGGGCTTTAGGTCCTGTTCCTTACTATAAGACCTTTGCCTTGTGGATTTTGTCTTTAAAGCTGGTGGTGGTGGCCGCAGTGGACGTCTTTAGTCCCAACACTCGGGAGGCAGAGGCAGGCGGATCTCTGTGAGTTTGAAGCCTGGTCTACAGAGTGAGTTCCAGGACAGGCTTCAAAGCTTACACAGAGAAACCCTGTCTCAGAAAGCCAACAAACAAAAAGCTGGTGGTGGGGTAACCCTACCGCACCTCTTGCTGAGAGGTTCATCCAGATGGAACAGTAGACACAAGTGAGGGTGCTTCACAGCTGTGCTGGGCACTGCAAGTCTTAGGTTCCTGTTTTTCAGTTGAGGATCTGAATTCCAGTCAGGCACATCCCTTATCCAAGGTCACGTGGCTAGTAACAAACGCAGAGACTGCTTGGGTCCTTCTCATCCTGACCCTCAGGGCAGTCAGGAAGCTCTGGCTCCTTCTACAAGCCACGGGTCACACATATCCTCACTAGTGTCCCACATCAGAAGCACCTCATCTAATTCTCATTACCCCCAAAATGTTCCTTTCTCATTGATTACCCACGTTACCCAGACTAGAGGCAACACCTCGTGTCACGTTCCCCAAGAGACGGCTCAGATGCCTGTTCCGGGCTAGAAGGTAAGTGGAAAACAGAACAGTCAGTAGTCCAGAGTTGTAACCACCGTGCCAGGCACAGAACAAGAGCCCAGGCATTGCCCCATTTGTTGCTGTGTTGTGGATATGGTGAGTGTTCGGGGGACAGAGTCCCACCTCATCTGTTGTCTACAGTCATTGCCACTTACTCCCTTCTATGACGGCCTCAGCACAGTATCTGCATTACTTCATTTTTTCCCCATCACTTGCCGTGGGCTTCTCCACTTTAAGATGACAGGGCATACTCTCAGGCATGCTCGGTAGCTTGCTCAAGGCTGTCTAAATAGTAGCTAGGCTGGGATCTGCCTATATAAAGTTTGGCTTTAAAGTCTCCAGTGACTTTGGTCCACCACGATAAAGGAGGTTAACAGCTCCTGCTGGAACACTGCTAGCCTACCTAGAATTTTTGTGAAAATTAGTTGGCTCCTTCTTCCGGGAAGCCATGTAAAGATGAGCAAAGTCACTTTGATTCCAGTCCCCATTCACCCCTGAGGCCAGCCAGGACTGCCCACCTGCACCACATGTTACAAGATGGGTGACTGCAGATATGTACCTGCGTGTGGACTGCCATGGTATGGGACAAAGCATATTGGTGCTTCTTAGAATTGCACAGACCCAAAACTGGACTGGCCCTTAGTGATCACCCAGAATCATTGTCATTACAAGCTTTGGAGCTGTGCAAAATATGTTATGCACACCATCTCATTTTAACACTCAAAATAACCACTGTGAAGAGGTTAAATACTGCACACTCATCTTCAGGTCAAGGGAATGTAATGATGTGGTGATCTGTTCCTGGCCTTGCTCCTACTCCCTTGGAGTTTAGATCACAGATGAAGGCACTAGCTATGTCTGTGATCCGGGAAAAGTTATCCTTTATCTCAGTTTCCTTGTCTGGATGGAGAGGGTAGAGATAAATGAGCTAATAACTGGTAGATTCAGCCAACCAAGGGTTAATAGTATTCCAAAATGCTGCTCCTCTACTGAACACACACAGACTTTCTTCTCTTGTGATTAGTCTCTACACAACACAATAGAACAACTATTTAAACAGGTGTGATGGAACATGCTTGAAAACCCAGCACTGAGAAGGAGAAGCAAAAGGATTGAAGAAAGTTCAACGCCAGCCTGATCTACATACCAAGTATCAGGTCAGCAGAGCCACATAAGGGAACCATGAATCCAAGCAAAGTAAAATTAAACAAAGCTACCAAAACTATTTGTGTGTAATTTATGTAATATTAAACATTTTAAGCAGAGATAATAGCAACTACTACACCATTTTGTTTATTTTGAGACAGGTTCTTATAGCTCAGACCTTGAAGGATGGATGGTCTCGAACCCCTTCCTGGTCCTATTGCCTCTACCTCCCCAGTGCTGGGACTATAGAAATACAACATTTTATATTTTATATAAGCAACTTGAACACCTAAGGATTTCAATACCCGTGAGGCACTCTGGAACCAATCTCTCGTGGATACCACGGGATGACTGTGCCTAGACTTGGAACTTAGCCCCGGAAAATGGTGAGGAAAGTGATGAAGAAAAGGTCAGGCAGTGGTGGCGCACGCCTTTAACCCCAGCACTCAGGAGGCAAAGACAAGAGGATCTCTGTGAGTTCAAGGCCAGCCTGATCTACTGTGCAAGTTCAAAGACAGCCTTCAAAGCTACAAAGAAGCCCTTCTCTCTCTCTCTTTTTTTTTTTTTTTTTTTTTTTTTTTTTTTTTTTTTTTTTTTTTTTTTTGAGACAGGGTTTCTCTGTATTGTTTTGGAAGCTGTCCTGGAACTCACTCTGTAGAACTCACAGCCTGCCTCTGCCTCCCGAGTGCTGGGATTAAAGGCGTGCACCACCAATGCCCGGCAAGAAACCCTGTCTTAAACAAAGTGATGAAGAAAAAAAAGGCAAAATTTGGGCTTCAAGATGAGTTTGGTGGAGGGCTGGAGAGCTGGAGAGCTGGAGAGATGGCTCAGCAGTTAAGAGCACTGCCTACTCTTCCAGAGGATCCAGGTTCAATTTCCAGCACCCACATGACAGCTTACAACCATCCCAGGGGAATCCCATGCCTCCTTTTGACCTCCATGGGCAGCAGGTTTAGTACGTGGTACATAGACAGGTATGCAGGTAAAGTACCTATACACATTAAGTAAATAAAGAAACAATTTTGAAAGGATGAGTTTGGTGGTGATTCTGTGATTTTAAAGTTATTTGTTTGTTCTGTGTGTGTGTGTGTGTGTGTGTGTGTGTGTGTGTGTGTGTGTGTGTGGTACTGGGGATTGAACTCAAGACCTCAAGAATGCTAGCAAAGCACTCTATCACTGGCCTACATTTCTCTACTCTTAACTGACTGAACGACTTCAGAGGTGCCACTTGAGCACACATATCAGGATGCTTCACCATTTGCTATTCTCCCCATCTGGGTTGTTCTTTTCTCCAGATCTCATCGTATCTCATTGTTCTGCATCCTTTAAGCTTTGACTTAAGTCACCTGGCTTAGGGGCCTTCCCTGGCTCCTTCTCACTTTCCAAAATTTCACATCTCCCAGTCCTACGGCAACTCCCCTGTATCACTTAGTAAAACACGCTGCTCATTTATTTCTAGAATGTGCCCTAGCATGTCCTTGGGTCACACCCCAGCCCAGAAGAATGATGGGAGATGCCAGAATGGCAAGATTTTGGTAAGTGAAAGAATTTGTGTTGGTGGCACAAGTCTTTAATCTCAGCACTCTGGTGGTTGGGGCCAGAAGATCATGGATTTGAAGTTAGTTTGGGCTATATAATGGAACTTTTCTAAAACAAACAAAGCTATTCTTCCTGGAGTCTCTTCTCTCAAAAAAGAAGCCATCCTTGGAGCTGAGGATGAAGATCATACCTTGATGTTTGAGACACTCACAGTTCGCCTGATGCATTCCTAGAGGCTTTATATACATTGTCTTATTTAATTATATCCTTGAAGCCACCCACAATAGGCACAGTAGGTATTCATATTCTCCCAATTTTTCAGAAAAGGAAACTGAGACTCAGAGAGGATAAGTCTTGTTCAAGGTCACCTAGATTGTAAGTAACAGCCAAAATTTGAATCCAGGCTTGGATGAACCCCAGAGGCTGAATCTTTCCCTCTGCCATACTGCTGAATCCTGCCCTGAAGAGCCTATAGCAGGCCAGCTGGTTACATAAATCGCCACACAAACTCTCACGTGCTAAGTGTTAACTATGTCACATCTGACTCCACCCTTTCCCTTGCTCCCAAATCCAGCAGTCACCAAGTCCAGCTGAAACTGCATGGAAATGGCTTACAAGACTTCTCAAGCCCCTCTGGCTGCCAGTCTAGTTCAAGTCCTTGTTAACACTCACTTGGGTCAAGGCAATGGACTATATGCTGTCTACTTGCCCATAGGTTTATCTCTTCCACCCTGCTTTCTTCCAGTGAGAGTCCTTAGCAATAACTGCAGTTCAGTGTAACTCCTGGGTTGAAAATGGTCCTTGGAAGCTGGGTCTGGTAGCTCATGCCTGTAATCCCAGCACTCAGAAGGACTGCAGAGAGTTCAAGGCTACCCTGGGCTACATATTGAGACCCTGTCTCAAAATCACAAAATCTAGGGCAAGATGGCTCAAAGGGTATAGACAATGTTCCACAGGATCCACAGGGTAGAAGGGATGAACCAGCTCTTGCAAGCTGTCCTCTGAACTCCACATATACACTGTGGCATGTGTGTAAAGACAAATAAATAAATGTAATGGAAAAACTCATGGC